TTTACTATCTACTCTGTACTTTCTACTTCTATTTCTATTTCTACTTATATTTGTTCTTCTGCTTCTAAATCGACTTCTTCTTTTTCTTCTTCTTTTAAATCTACTTCTTCTTCTTCTTCTACTTCTTCTTCTAATTTTATTTATTTTTCATTCAATTCATGCACACTTCTGTTAATGTTATTTTAAAAAAAAAGCAACAAAAAAGAACAATTTATTTAAATATTTTTAAGAGCTAATACGGTAAACTTGTGTTCGCGTCTCTTTGGGCTATGTACGGCTTTATAACAACTTGAGCTAATACACTAAGATAAACACCAAACATTTTCATTTTATTTGATTGCCAAAAAATGGGGGAAAATGTGTTAATAAAAAAGGACAAATGGTAAGACTCTCAATGGGTTACTCAGTGCATACAGCATACATGTGTACGCATATAACGCAGACAATCGACATTAAATAAAAAGAAAAAAAAAAAGTAAGCAGGAAAAAATGACGCTTCCAGCTTTTAACGAATATAATATAAACACTTCTACATAAAATGTTGCAATAATTTAAAAGAAAGATGGAATGAGCTTACATTCGATTTAAGAAAGTTTTTATTTATTTAAATTAAATGCAGCGTTTATTTTACCGACTTATTCAGAATCACTTTCTGAATCGAACTAAGTTTGTCTGTCTGTCTGTTTTGTTTTCCTGTGCTCAACGTACAGGTCACAATTTTTTGGATATTTTGACAAAATTTGGTACAGTGGAGTTTTTGGACCAAGGTGGAATGCTATTGAAAATGGTTTCAATCGAACCACTTTATCGATCACTCTCCATGTACAGTTTTATTTTGACAAGTCGATGTATGAAAACTTGTAGGATACTGTGGCGTACGTGATGGCAGGGCAGGGCAGTCTCATTATATTGATTTCGCTTGTTTATCTTCGTTAAGTGAATTTTTGCTCATTTTGGAGATATTAGAAAATTATATTCATCTTCGAGGTAACCTTGAATATTCCGTTCGATTCAAAGATAAGCTTTAAATTTGGTCTTACATTTTTTGGAAACAGGTATAGTCTCTCCATTGGACCTTACAATTGCCTTGTAACGATCTAAAAACTTGCGCGTTTTATTTTTGAATAGAAATTTTGATCTGATTCCTTGTGATGTGGCTTCGAACAAGTTCTTCAGATGCAGAAACTATTCTACATGGATCTAAGCAAAGGATAGCGGGTGCTAAAGAATGCCCTACCGCAAGCACTGCAATGTTAGTAGCATTTGTTGGTGGACGTAGGGTGGCGTAGCGTTGCCGTAGAACCGTATCCACCGAGTCCACTATGTTGCTCACAGTTTTCAGAGCCCTGCCCGTATCGATATGAATTATTTCCCTAGAATTTTATCGTCTTCACGGGATATACACCAGTCTTTGCCATAAGATTCATAATTTCGCCTG